TCTTTCTTTCTTCTTTCTTTTGACAGAGTCTCTCTCTCTCTCGCTCAGGCTGGAGTGCCGTGGTGCCATTCTTGGCTCACTGCTACCTCTGCCTCCCAAGTTCAAGCGATTCTCGTGCCTTAGCCTCTCAAGTAGCTGGGATTACAGGTGAACGCCACCATGCCTGGCTAATTTTTGTATTTTTAGCAAAGATAGGGTTTCACTATGTTCCCCAGGCTGGTCTCGAACTCTTGGCCTCAAGTGATCTGCCCTCCTTGGCCTCCCAAGGTGCTGGGATTACAGGCATGAACCACCACAACCAGCCTAAATTTTTATTTCTGTAGTAAAATTTGTCTTTTTGTGCTTAGTGCTTAGGACAGGCTTAGTAAATGTTTGTTGGATAAATAGGTATATGTGAATTTATATATGTGTGATACGTGTGTGTGTACGTATGTGTGTGCGTGTAAGCAGCTGCTGCTTTTGTGAGTGTGTCCTCGGTTCTCCACTGCTAGGGGCCATCCCACGTGATTTAGTTGAGGCTGAGCCCCACCCCCCACTCTCTAAAAGTGGAAATGTGATCCAGGCCTAACTGACTAGGCCTGGCTAATCTCTTCTAGTCTTTGGCTTTAATCGTTGAGGACTCAGGGGGCCATATTTTCCCTTATTTTGATTTTGCCTAAAGTTTATTTGAGTTTCATTTTGCCCAGAGGTGGTGAAATATTCATCAGGAAAAGTGAAAGGTTTATTCCTCAAGGATTTACCATTCCTCTTTTCTCATGACACCTAAATACATACATACATACATGTGTGTGCATAGAGGTAGAACCTAACGTCAAGGGTAGGCATGTAGCCTAAACCAAGCCGATGAAACAACTACAGATTTTTTCTATACTTAATGGAAAAGAGGAACTCTTTCTGCTGTCTCTGAAGCTGGGAGGATGTAAACCTAAATCATCGAGAGCCACCACTTGGAGGTAGAAAGCCTGAGAATGAAGCCAACAGAAGAAAATCGGGGTGAGGGAGGGAAGAGAATCTAAGTCTTAATAAGATAGTTAGAGCCCCCAGGTCCTGTACATTTCCATTATGTGAGTCAATAAGTGCCCTGTTTTTACTTAAGCTGGTTACACAATGGGTTACCATTATTTCACACAGAATCGTTCATATCTAAAAGCTATGGAGTTCAAATCTGTTAGATGTTGTCACCGGTTGGGTTCAGGAGGGTAACGTAAACACTTGGGTAGAGGTGGAACTTCGGGGAGATGCCATCTGAAAACGGGGTGAGGGAAAAGCGTGAAAGAGGAAAAGCCCCTAAAGAGGGTCTGTTAATGAGTTGATTACTAAGGGCAACTGGGCTCAGTTCTGTTGGGGACACCCTGGGTAGAAGGTCTCAGAATTGTCCCTCCAGGGGAAGGGAAACTGGAACATTCATCCAGCGAGACTAATGATCCCTCGTTAGTTGAGAGTTAACACCTGGGTCATTAATTCTGCAAAAACGGGTTTCTGGTGCAACAGCTGAATAGGCTTCCTCAGCTTTGAAGGAAACTCCAGGAAGCAGCATGGAGAGCCGTCCGGCTGATACCAGCAGTGCAAGATCGTCAGGGTGCACGGAACTCTCCACTGCAGCTACTTACAAATCAAAGGCATGCCATGGGTAAGTGTATCACAGGGCACCAGAGTGGGCTGCCTATTGTCTCTTCTGTGATAGTGGTCAGCAACCTCTTTTTATCCTATGTGCTCTGAGGAATGGTCTTGGGTGGAGAAGAAGCCGTAAGAAAAACAAACAAAAAAAAAAAACCTGAGCCAGGTGTGGTGGCTCACACCTAT